TTTAACTTTTTTAAAGGGGGTCCCCCCCCCCCCCACCCCCCTTGTCCCTCAGGACCGGGTGAATTTTGTATTGAACGTTGGTTCCACTTGTACTAATTAGAAAATTTAATAAAAAAACTGAAGTGATAAACACACTCCATTGCAGAATGTTCTACTCGGAACACGACTATGCTAATATGTCAGTGACTACTGTTGTTTTTATGAAAATAAAAAAAATATTAACTAATATATCTCTTTGTTCCTTTTGCCAGTATCTTCAAACAGATTTTCAGCAAAGGTAAGAGCAGACCTTATTGTGACGTTTTCCTGTTAAACTGTAAATGTATCCAAATCTCCCTGGAACCAGTTGATAATTAAAATATATGCAGAAGGAGGCTTTCTGTGCTTAGCTGTGACTGTAGCTAAGCTGCTTTTGCAGTGTTTTTGTATTGATCCTGAAAGCTGTTAGAAGACACACATTGCTGTCCACCCATCATCAGTCTGGCAGGGTAAAATACTTTACTGTCGATTTTTTTTCAGCTCTTTCATACAACTGATGCATCATTATTGCAGGTCCATGTGATTTGACTTTTTTTAGCTTTAGCATGGACTTAAAAACTTGGTATATCATGGAATTTACCTTTTTAGAGGTAGAGGCAAAATGCTTGTGTAATCGGGCGTTGGTAGAAGCAGCCAATTACTTCTGCAGAACTAGTATGCAGCATTTCAGTTGGTAGCGGTGGGAGCTTCTTTCAGTGCCTTAACTAACATGTTTTGCTTCATGGTAAAGTCCAAGATAAACACGAATGTTACCATATTTTATATTTTCAACATACTAAACATAAACCTTAAGGGCATGTCTGGGCCATGGGCATGTAAAGAGCATTTTTCTAGGGCTACCAGGCAACCAAGCACTACCAGGCTCTCCATCGCACCAATACCTACCCAGCACCTGCCATCTCAACATGACAAGAGACCACTAGAGCAAGGGCAGGAGAAGGGATACCTCTGTACCAGATTTCCTGAATATTTTGCCTCATGGCCTGCTAACATTCTAGGCTGAATGCAATCCAAGATAGTGCCAACCTGCACTGCAGCCTGCTGAGACTCTTGGTCCACAGGACTTTCCTCTGTGGATCACACTGACTCACAGGACATTTTGCCAAAATACCACCAGTCCTACGAACAACCAACCACCTTAAAACGTCACAGGCACAGGTAGGAGAATCACATCCTTTAAAACATTCTGGGCTCTACACAACCTGACATACCCACACCAGCTCAGCCGAGCTTAGTTTGCTGTTCATGTACATACTGACCAAGTCTTAGACTGCTATGTGCAAAGATAAACAAAGCCTTCACCAAGCTTCATACCCCCTCCACACCATCATTGATGGAGTCACAGCATGTGACACTAGCAAACCATTTGCAGGCACTAGAAAATGACAACCAGGAGTCAACAACATAATATAAGGATCAGAGGCCACCACTGCAGCAAAACTAAGGAAGACAGTTTGGGGCGTTTTTCTCCCCCCAACTCCTGGAGGGTATTCTCACTGGAGAGATCAAATTGGACAGGTGACATTGTGTGGTGGCCCACTGCTCTTCCAGCTGTGCTATGTGTAATTCTTCACTAAAAGAGCCTCCGTAAAGCCTCTCTCCTCATACTGCCAGAACTCTTCAGGAATGCTGGGTTAGCTCCTGTCTCTCTTTGCCTGCAGCATCCCTACACCTGATACTCCATTGGTGCCTTCCTACTGAAGAAAACTTCAGGCTCATGGTACTCGGTGAGCTCAAGTTAAGCCCTTCACCTTCCCACATACCTTCTATCTTGAATAACAATAGCTGCGCTAGGAGTATAATTGTGTACCAACCAATAGACCAGCTGCAACAATATGTGATTATTATCGTGTATAATGGTGCTAATTTTTGTTGCGCTCAGTCCAAGTGTATATAAACTTAATAAGTGAAATTATCTCATGCTAATGAGTATGGTTAAGATCAACAATTCAAAAAAATGAAAGTGAAAAATCTGTGCAACAAACTATAAATTTGGATCTATGTCCCAACTATAGATGCACGTGTATAAATGCAAATGTGCTAATCCACATTTCCACTCTAATTTAACCTGCACTGCAGCCTGCTGAGACTCTTGGTCCACAGGACTTTCCTCTGTGGATCACACTGACTCACAGGACATTTTGCCAAAATACCACCAGTCCTACGAACAACCAACCACCTTAAAACGTCACAGGCACAGGTAGGAGAATCACATCCTTTAAAACATTCTGGGCTCTACACAACCTGACATACCCACACCAGCTCAGCCGAGCTTAGTTTGCTGTTCATGTACATACTGACCAAGTCTTAGACTGCTATGTGCAAAGATAAACAAAGCCTTCACCAAGCTTCATACCCCCTCCACACCATCATTGATGGAGTCACAGCATGTGACACTAGCAAACCATTTGCAGGCACTAGAAAATGACAACCAGGAGTCAACAACATAATATAAGGATCAGAGGCCACCACTGCAGCAAAACTAAGGAAGACAGTTTGGGGCGTTTTTCTCCCCCCAACTCCTGGAGGGTATTCTCACTGGAGAGATCAAATTGGACAGGTGACATTGTGTGGTGGCCCACTGCTCTTCCAGCTGTGCTATGTGTAATTCTTCACTAAAAGAGCCTCCGTAAAGCCTCTCTCCTCATACTGCCAGAACTCTTCAGGAATGCTGGGTTAGCTCCTGTCTCTCTTTGCCTGCAGCATCCCTACACCTGATACTCCATTGGTGCCTTCCTACTGAAGAAAACTTCAGGCTCATGGTACTCGGTGAGCTCAAGTTAAGCCCTTCACCTTCCCACATACCTTCTATCTTGAATAACAATAGCTGCGCTAGGAGTATAATTGTGTACCAACCAATAGACCAGCTGCAACAATATGTGATTATTATCGTGTATAATGGTGCTAATTTTTGTTGCGCTCAGTCCAAGTGTATATAAACTTAATAAGTGAAATTATCTCATGCTAATGAGTATGGTTAAGATCAACAATTCAAAAAAATGAAAGTGAAAAATCTGTGCAACAAACTATAAATTTGGATCTATGTCCCAACTATAGATGCACGTGTATAAATGCAAATGTGCTAATCCACATTTCCACTCTAATTAGTGCATAGTGCTTAAAATCTTATACTCTTGTTGAACATATGTGGCATGGCAAGTATCAGGTCCACAGGTGAAATGGTTTCACTATAATATAATAAATTTGGATCTATGTCCCAACTATAGATGCATGTGTATAAATGCAAATGTACTAATCCACAACTCAACTCTAATTAGTGCATAGTGCTTAAAATCTTATACAGTAATACCTTGGTTTACGAGCATAATTCGTTCCGGAAGCATGCTTGTAATCCAAAGCGAATTTCCCCATAGGAAATAATGGAAATTCAGATGATTCGTTCCACAACCCCAAAATATTCATATAAAAATGATTACAATACTGTAATATAATACTGTACAAAATATAAAGAAAAATAAACCAATTACCGGTACCTTCGTGGCTGGTGTGAGGGGGACAGGAGAGAGGAGAATTATTGTGTAGGACGACTTTCACTGTCGCTAACGGAATCACTGCTATCTCTTGGCTCAATGGAATCTTTTTAATTTCGTGAAACCTTAACAAGGAATCTATTCAATGTGACATTGCATTGTCGTTAAACAGACTCATCGCTCGCACTGCTACAGCCTTATTCGGTGGTGGTTTTCTACAAATGTTGCTCTTATTGCAAGACATTGCTTGTATATCAAGTCAAAAATGTTCAGAAATGTTTGCTTGTCTTGCAAAACACTCTCAAACCAAGTTACTTGTAAACCAAGGTATTACTGTACTCTTGTTGAAGATATATGTGGCATGGCAAGTATCGGGGCCACAGGTGAAATGGTTTCACTACAATGACATAATAGTAATACCTCTACTGCTACAACATATCTGTCCATACACCCACCAGGTGTTTTTTTAGAAGGAAAAGAAGATGGATTTCCTTTCCTTTCATTAAAGGCATCCTTTTGTCCAAACAGCCATATTCAATATATCCTCATAGTGTGCAACGATTATGTCCCAAACTCGATCTCTTTATTTGTAATAATCGGCAGCCTCTTCAATCCCACATGGATGGGCAAACCTTGCAGCTCCCCCCTTCCTTTTCATTCAAATCACACTACACCGTTGCATCGGCGGTGGTGTCCCCTGTGATGTCTCAAAGGAGAAAAAGTTGTGGAGAAAGAAAGGGGAGGGCGCCTAAGTGCAGTAAAAAAGTTTATTCTTCCACAACACACAAACAAATGCACTTACGGGATCGTAGGTTAAAAATCACATATAACGACAGAGTCCTCAGATATAGGAGGCAAAGGCAAGTCTCTCCCTTGACGCTTATCGTCTTTTCACCTCATCAGAAGGGATCCTGCCTTTGACTCCTGCTCGCATTTAAATACTATACAACTAAAAGAAATGTAGTCATAGTAAAACCAGCATTGATTTCCTGGATTTAACAATACAAGGAAGAGAAGATAAATTTAATTACTAAGACCTTCTTCAAGTCCACGGATAGGAATGGATATATACCCAGGGGCAGCTGTCATCATCCGACATGGCTGAAGGGAATTCCAAAGGGACAATTTGCAAGGATAAAAAGGAACTGTTATACAATAGAGGATTTTGAAGAACAAGCATCCAAGATCGAAAACAGATTCCCAGAGAAGGGCTATCAAAAACATGAATTGGACAATATGAGAATGAAAATACAGAAAATGAATAGGGAGGAGATGTTGAAACCCAATAAGCGGAAAGATAGAGAACCTATCCTACAAAAATACTGGCCCATCCTCAGGAAGGACAAAGTACCAGGACCATAGATTCCACCAAAACCGAAAATAGTATATAGAAAAGCCCCCAATTTGAGAGAAAAATTGGTACGCAATGTATTGGATCCCCCCCAAAAATGCTTGTTCTTTATATACATATACAGTATGCTTGATCATCGGAACAAGACCCCTCAAGATATTTTTTTCCTTACTATAAACATTTTTGAAAGATTTTAATCATGATTTTACTTCACCCATACTGTTGTGGTGCACTTTTTCTGAAGAAGTGGCAGTATAGCCATGAGATGAGTTATACGGTACTTTAATACACTAAGGAACTTTTACTAAAGAGGTAAAATCTCCTGACTAAAGTCATTGAACATTAATGCTTGGCGTCTCTGCAACACAAAGCTGACAAGGATTTTTTAGATCTCTCCCTGACAACTGCTTAGGACATGACTTCACATGTATAACAAAAAAAAACATTTTTTAATGCTGTCACATTCACTCACTGTTCTGTTACCAATACAGATAAATGCTTCCTGTGCTTCTAGTAAGTGGGGAACAGGTGCACTTTAGACAACTGTAACATTTAGAAGCCACTCAGTGTGTCCTCATACACCCACGTCCCCTCCATCCGACTAACTCACCAGAAATACTGACCCACTGTTGAAAGAGAGTCAAACAACGCTCCATTATATGCAGGTGTTATCGGAAAGGCATCCTTTCTAGGGACCTGAGTCCTCCATCCTTTTATTTGCTCTAGAAGTATTAACTCACTGTTGAAATTGGGTCAGACAACACTCCAGTTTATGCAGGTGTTATCAAACAGGCATTCCACTCTAGAGATCCAAGTCCTCTCCTTTTATTTGCTCCCAAATGGATTATATAAAGAGCAGAAATACTCCCATAGTGTAATCAAATTATAAAATCAAGCATTTATTAAGAAACACTAAGATAATGTAGGGGCTATCCCGGACCTAGGAATCTCCGGAGCTCTCCGCCGGACATTAAGCACTGCAGGGAGAGCATCACACAAACCCACCCATTCAACACATTTTGTCCAATGACATCCTCTGGAGTAGTGCATTTTGGATATCATTTAAAAATGATCAACTTTGGTAACTGGCACAATGGCTTAGTGGTTAGTAGGAGCATTAAATTGTATCATAGAGTATTTAAAACAAAAAAAGTATAGGCAAAACAAAAGATGCAGTGACAAATACACAATATGAATATCTGTTTAACACTACATTTCTGTTTTGGAAGCACTACAGAGGAAAACAATTTGGAAGGCTTACTTGATTTTGTTGTGCTTTACATGGCCTCCCCTAATCCATCAAAGTGGGTAGCCAAGCCATGTGTGATAATACATTAAGTTGTCAATGTGGTATTTGAATTTATTAATTTTCCGCCATAGGGCCTCTGTTTCTCAGGTTTGTAAGGCCGCTACTTGGTCTTCTGTTCACACCTTTTTGTTACGTTGTACGAGGTGGATGTTTTGGCATCGGCGGATGCTGGTTTGGGGCGCAAAGTGTTGCAGGCGACTCTTTGAGGTGTCTTTTGGGTGTTTGGTTGTTGTTGCCCATCCCTCAATGTGTACTGCTTGGTGACGTCTCTACCTTTCAGGATCTACGATCTGTTGCCTGTGTCCTTGAATGAACGGGAGAGAAAATAGGATTTTTGTACTCACCGTAAAATCCTTTTCTCTCCGTTCATTGAAGGACACAGGCCCCGCCCTCTTTATGGGGTGTACACTCCTAACTGCTTGTTACTAAACTGGAGACTTGTCAGCAGGTGGGGGGTTTGGCCACCGGCAGGGGCCGCCCCTAGGCTGTAATTGGTCTTTAGTTTTGTGCCTAGCGTCCTTCTCCTGCAGGTGGCGATATTACCCTACCTTTCAGGATCTACGATCTGTTGCCTGTGTCCTTCAATGAACGGAGAGAAAAGGATTTTACGGTGAGTACAAAAATCCTATTTTTATTCCCTCCAGGAAGCTTACAGATTAATTTACCGGACCTACCTCAATCAGGGTTTCCTGAGCCTATGGAGGGGCAATTCTGCAACCATGGTGCGGGTCATTCCATATGCAGCCATACAGTTTTGCGCTCACGAACAGTACAAAAAAATTCTTGGCAGATACTATGGCTTCCAAGGAGCGTAAGTATTTACATCTGTTTCGACAAAATATTTATAACTTTCTGTAAATTGATATTTTCTCTTCATTAATTTAGAGAGCATGATCATAGGTCGTTGTTGTATTGCGTTCAGTTTTAGTATTGACTTGTTTGTCAAGCTAAACTGCAAGCTCTGTTTTGTGGTTCTCTAGTTTGTTTCTTGTTAGCACCTCAGCCAGTGATGGGAATTTGTTAGCAAGATGATCAGTGTAAAGGTGGCTATACACCTTACAACCATTGTTCAACTTTTTTTGTCCAGACATCTCACCCTTTTTCAATATTTGTTCAACGTTTTTTTGTTTGAGCATGCGCAGTTTTCACGTTGAGATTTTTGTTGTACAACAACACCACTAACCCGTCAATTTTTATCCAACTAGAGAAAAATGTTCTAGCCTGCTTGAAAGACAAAAATCTGCCAGTTTTACAGTAATTAAGGTTGTGCACTCCCCATCAATTGGCAGATTTTCAGACGAAAACGCAATCGCTGACAAAAATCTACAGATAACTGTAATGTGTATGGGCACCTCCTAGACATATCATCTCTTCACTCGTATGCTAAACATAACCATGGCCAGCCAGAACTACCTAGTATTTTTATACATGATCTTAATCAGGCTGGCATGACATTTCCAGATCATTTTCAGTCTCTTGGAAAGTCTTTGCCTGGAATTATTATGTAGTCTTTCTTTCTTTCTTTACTTTCCCTTCCTTCCTTTCTTGTTATTTAAAAGTGTGCAGACAGAGCTTAAGTCCTTCTTTTTACATGTCTAGGGATTGCTTAGTATCTGTGTTCTGAAAGTCTGTTTACACAGCTCAGTAGCTCAATCTAACATTTTATAAACATGTGAATGAGCCAGAGGAGTGACTGATCCCCTATTGAACACCTCAGTCTGAGGATTCAGTCACGCAGAGGAAGCCTCTAGCTAAGACTGACTTTGCTGTGCTGTCTTTTTAGATAATGCTGTGAGAGTCCTTTGTCCTGTATTAAAATGTTTGTTTCTAATTTTGTTAAGCAGGGATTGTATACAAATAATTAAAAAAAAGATAAAACAACAATTTTAAAAAGCTGACCTTCACCCATGTTCTATTAAATTATTCTCTTCCCCCTCTTTTCACACAAATTCAGACATTTAAAAAAAATACTATGTTTGTACCCCACACTACCCCCACTACCTGCAGCCTCCTGGGATACTTATGTCATACATCCTGGGAGGCTTCTGGTTAATCTATAGAAAAATCTCATGCACAACGACACATCATCAGGGGGTTGGTTATTCTTCCTAGTTCTTGGAACTGACACCCCCTTCCCCCCCAAGATCACTCGCCCCACTCCCGATGATGCACCACATTGCATGCTCATCATACGGGTGCATGCTTCAAGAAGCAGGAAGAGATAGCCGGCTTCCGATGACTTTAGAAAAGTATATTGGCAAGGGATCGGGTGGTGTGTAGTAGTGGAGTGGCAGATCACTACAGAATATTTCTGGATGTGTGAGTATTTTTTGTGGATAATGCAGCGGAAAGGTAAAAGGAGATTTAAAAAACACATGGGAGGTCCTCTTTAATAATTAAGAAGCTTAAAGATACTCTGCACACTGCCTCCTACCCCACACACACTGACAGACTGGAATGATGATGTCACCGCAAGGGAAATACCAGTGCAGAAACATCTGAAGCGCTGGAATACTGGTACTCCCCACATAGAAACAGTGTCAGCGAGGAGTTTAAGTGCTTCACAGAGTATTTAAAGAAATAAGCGAAATAGGTGAGGAGGGGGCACGGGAGAGGGTTTAATTTTTGCCAAGGAACAGAGATGTGTCTCTCACTGACTGTATCTAAAGCACAAGATATAAAGTAAACAAAACAGGAACATTTCTGTTAGGTCACACAGTGATTATCACTGGACTTTATTCAACAACTTTGCCACATGCCTCATTTAATACACAGACTGATTTACAAAAACACATGATGTCTTGCTTGAATGCTCTGAAGTGAAGGGTTATATAAAAGTTATTTTGTGGGCAAGAAAAGCTTACAGGCTGTGGCAGGTCTGTTCTTCCCTTTTCTAAAAAAATATATGTACAACTCAATATTAGAAACTCATCTTTTTATTCAGAACTAACAGGGCATAAAACAGAACAAGCCACCAATTGGCATGTTTAGTATTCTGAATCTCCACTCTTGAATACTTGTAATTGCGTGTTGTTTTTATTGTTTACTTGTATTCTCTCCCCGTCAGAGCAGAAGTGTCAGGCTGTTGGCAACAAATAGAAGAAAAAAAAAGCTTCCTATAAATTGCCAATCAATACAAACAGGTATTAAATCACATACATTTAACTTTAATATATCATGAAGTAAAACAACACACAAAATGAAACCGCTAAAGAACATATGTAAAATGTTTATGTGTGTGCAAATATCCCCATTTTTATATGTTTCAGAAGCAAGAATAGTTACAGATCCAAGTCATAAACGGCCATTCCAGTTGGAGATTGTTGGATTCCCCCTGAATGTGCTGTTTTTATTATAGCTGCTAGTGTATATATTGCATCTCTGCAATACATGCACCATTCCCCATGTTTATTTCTTGTAAGACTCTGCACACAGGACAGAAACATATCTATCAATCTGCAATAGTTCCAGTGATAGCCGTCCTTCAAAGGTGAATTTAAGAAATCAGACGTAAAGATCAAGATTTGACAAGTGCTATTAAAGAATATAAAATGTATCAAACATTCAGTGAAAGGGTGTATCTCAAAATACTCAATGTGAAATGGTTGTGCAAACAATTTAAAGTCTATACAATATCAATTATTTAAACTTTTATTTATATTTTATTATTCCCACTTCCAATAGCGCAAGTTCTTGCAATTATTAATAGTTCCAGTGAGCACCTAACTTCCTGGTGCGGCTGACAGCATTTCTTTTTCTGCACTAAAATTCTAAGCAGCATTGTCGGCCTGGCCTGAGTCCTCCTGTGCATGACTACACTACGTGTATCTTCCTTTTCCTTATTTTGATAACTCCTCTGTTCCCACACAAAGCTTAGAAGAATTTTAGTGACAGTGCAAGAGAATTTTCCCAGTAATCATGTGATATCTAAAGTCTAGTAACATAAGTGCAAGATATACTGTATGTGACAACACACTAAATAAAGGCATTATGTGAACATAACTATTGCGCAAGTTCAATCCAAAAAGATAAGAGGAGAAAACAGCAGACCTTTGTAGAGCGAATGCAAAAACAACCCAAAAGACAGGAGACACTCAGTTTTTTATAGGATTGCCAAATGGGGAGGGTTGTTAGGCCATGTTCTGCTTGAGCACAGCGCTAATAACAGAAACTCAAAAATGTATCATATGACAAGTGCTGTCAGAAATAAAAACTAAAGGCTTTGTTATTTATAAGAGAGAATGTGCCAGTTATTAGTCCTCAATTAGCTACACACCATACAGTGTTACAACCTTAGTAGAATGGCAGGGCTAGGGTTATAATAATGGATGATTCCATCAGGAAATGTGTCGGCATACTTCTGTCTTCATTCAGGGCACTTTTATTGGAGAATGCAACATGAAGATTGCAATGTTTCAAGGCTGTGCAAGTCACAACAAGCAACAGTGATAAACTAGTTATTAGCCCTGAGCCCAAAACCAATACATTCTTGAAAAGTGGAAATATTCCTCCTATACCTCCTATCCTTAATACAAATGAATAGATCCACTACCACTGCCTAGTCACCATAGCTTTCTGTGGCTTTTAAAAAGATTTTAATGTTTTTTTTTTTTTTTCTCCAAAAATAAATATAATGTATATATTTCTTTTTCCCCTCCTACAGTGCTTTGACACCGATCCCTCGCCTCCTTGCAGGAGCCCTTGCAGGTACGACTGCTGCAATGTTAACCTACCCACTGGATCTTGTGCGTGCACGTATGGCAGTGACACCAAAGGAAATGTAAGTTCCATTTTTCCTTTTGCCTACAAAAGGCCTTAAAAATTACATAGCATAGGTGCAAAAACAGTACACATGTCTTAAAAACTGCCTGTGGTATTGTAACAATCAGTAGATGAGTAATTAATTTTCAAGGAAGATTTAGCAAGGCAATCACAGAACGCAATAGTTGTACTATGTGATTTAGGTTAGGTTCTTTATGTAGCTTTTTTTTCTAGTGTTAACATGTAGGCCTGCACTGTTTTCAAATGTACCTTTACCCACGCGAACATGTAAAGTGCTTTGAAGTGGGAAAATTGAATTCTATTGTAAATTTGCAGGTATATATTGATGTGGTAAACAGGTTTTGAGATATAGAGAACCAGAGGCAGCAAATTCACTCTGAAGTTCTTGCATGTGGTCTGTGTTTGCAACCATTCAGCCTTTCCTGTTACTTGCAGGAGATTGATAACCTGCACAACAGACCCGGTTCTCGCTGTCATTTAGACACACAAGGCCATCTGTGATTTACTTTACTGTGATCTGTCTGTTTTCAACTAGTATGTGTACCCATATCTGCTCCTGCCACTTGTAAATTTCCTATCGCGTTGGCTATTATTTATCACAACTGAGGCTGCCATTGCCTGACTATAAGAAGTGTAAGAAGTGTTGTTACTTTTAGGGCAAAGCAAGTTTTACAGCATGCTGTACAGTGATACTCCTAACCTTTCTGGGATGTCCTGGCTAGTTCACTTGACATGTTTCTCTATTATGAATATAAGACAGATCTTTCTTTCAAATTCACCATATGAAAACTCTGCTTACCAAAATGTAAAATAGGTCCCAAATTTCAAATAAAGGATTGCCTGTAGAACTTGTCATATGACAGGTTATGCCAGCTCATAGAGATGCTTGGAAATCTTGTGTGATGGCCAGGATTTAAATTTATAGTAGAAGTTGTCAGGAAGAGATCCTGTTGAGATGCTTTTCACTGTAGTGGGCACAGAGGCCAACTGCATGCATGTGCACAGCTTAGAACTGTTTTTTGTTTGATTCACTAAATCCAATAAGAAGAGAGTTGGGGGATCTTTGTTTTTGCTAAACGCAGCCTAATGCATTAATGGCCTCTAAACATTTTACATCTGTAGTTACTAATACTGCATATCATTTTAAATCAAGAAAATAGCTTGAAATTGCAGCTAGGCCCAGTGTGCCACCCGCATTAGAAAATCGGTCCTTTATACTTGTCAAGGCTAATCGGCTCCAATGTGCTTATTGCAGGTATAGTAACATCATCCACGTCTTTATCCGTATGTCAAAAGAAGAAGGCTTGAAGACCCTGTACCGAGGGTTCGCTCCCACAATCCTAGGAGTCATTCCTTATGCAGGAATCAGTTTCTTTACCTACGAGACTCTAAAGAAATCGCATGCAGGTATGTAATGTAAGAATGATGGGATTATTTGGTGTCATTATTTAATCTTAATGGGCTTTCTTGGTTTATTTAAAAGGTATGTATACCCAAATAGTTTTGTTTAGGATACAGTAAGGAAGAATTAGAAACCTGTAAGTTGTCAGAGCCGTCTCCATTGGAGAGATTCCTTCACTTTCTGTCTTGTAAAAAGGTTGTCCCTAGCACAGGATGTAAAAGGAAATCTCTGTAACGGAAACACAGACAGAAGTAAAAATGCTTTTTTGGGTATAAATACACTGTACGTGCTTCATTACATGTGGGGTTTTGAACCTTCATTATTTTTGTTGTTGCAATGAAGCATAATTGATTTTTACTAAACACAGTGCCTTGCAGAAGCTGAGGCATATTTATAGTCCCTTTTTTCATCTAGTACATTATACTTGTCTATTATAAGCACTGCATTCTTTTGTATTACATCCACTGCCTCATATTTCTCTAGCACATGCTTTGCCTCATGCCTCCCTATTACACTCGGTGCTTCATACCTTTCTGTTTTATGCAGTGCCTCACACACATTACACATATTGCCTTCTATTTCTCTATTACTCTGTGTCTCAAACCGCTGTAGTACATGTAGTGTCCCACACTTCTGCATTGGACACATTACCTCTTACCTCTTTGTTACATGTTTTCCCTTATGGCTTTGCTTTACACGCTGTGCCTTATGCCTGTCTGTTAAATACAACACCTTGTTCCTCTCATGCTCTGATATCACTAAGTGGAATACCAGCATCTTTCTTACTGTTGTTGTGTGTTGTGCTCTCCCTCGTGCCTTCTCCCACTGTCATTCTCAGTATGACATATATTACATAAATGAATAGGCAGTGTGGGAAGCCCAATACAAACACCAGATTATGTTGTAGAAGCAGACGAGTAGGACGTGAAGGGCAGCAGCTGCTGTGACAGCCAGAAAATGGAATCCCGAAAGAGTTGAATTCCGGTAAAACTTATAGTGCTGGTAACTTACAAGTACGATTTTTTTTTTTTTTTAGAAAAAGGTAGGAAGTAAGTAGTATAACAGTACGTTTTTTAGGCTTAAAAATGTCAGGTCTGGTGGCAGTGTCTCTAAGAATGTTGTAAATACTAGATATATAGGACTTTAAATAAAACCTGTTTAAGGGAAGCATGGAGGCTGTCACTGCTGAGCTCTCTGTCTGAAAATGCTGGTTGCCTCCCTGTCATACTAGTGCTTAGCTGAACAGTATGTTAATAAGGAATTTATTCCGGCTTTAAACATTTGTAGCATTATTTCAGATCGGTCACTTAGATGGTAGCAAAACCAATGAGTCTGTATTCTGTTCAGACAACTAGCATTTTAAAAAGAAGGCTATGAGAGCCCCTACATTTTTTTTTTTTATGCAATGCAAATGTGTACATTTTATATATAATGTGGACCCACTGATAAGCTTGCTTGTTTTATTCCATTTTATTTTAGAGCAAAGTGGCAGGACCCAGCCCTCCCCTCTTGAACGTTTGCTATTTGGAGCCTGTGCTGGACTCTTAGGTCAGTCTGCTTCCTATCCTCTGGATGTGGTGAGACGGCGCATGCAGACTGCTGGTGTTACTGGACATACCTATGGCTCCATCCTTGGTACTATGAGGGAAGTGGTGGCTGAAGAAGGTTTCATCCGTGGTCTGTATAAAGGGCTCAGCATGAACTGGGTGAAGGGTCCAGTTGCAGTAGGCATCAGCTTTACCACCTTTGACCTAACGCAGATTCTTCTGAAAAAGCTCCAACAAATGTCCAGTGTTCAGAGGTAGAGCAGGGGTGGTATTAAAATAGTACTTGACTGTACTAGATTTCTTTAAAGAAATGGATTGGTGCTAGTCTAGTTAGCCATTACAACATGGCTACAGAAATAAATATTTAGCTATATTTGCCAAAACAGGTTGTAACGTTGTCAGTGGTTGGAATGGGGGTGAAAAAGTAAAGCCTTGTAGTGTGCCAATCAGTGGAGCTCTTTGAAGAGCACCTTATTACTTATTAGCACACTCACCGGAGCACAAACACGCACAGCGATAAGCATTACCCCATCCCCACCATGAACAAAGCTGCTATTGCCATCTCATTTTCGTGCCAGAGCTATGTGCTTTAGCTTTGTCCGTAAAACTCCTCTATGGAATTTCAGTCACTACTGCACAGAGCCACAAAGTATTACACATGCTTACAAGAGAGCCCCAGCGAAATATTTAGAGTGGAGGATAGTTTGAAGAAGTGGGCTTATTAAGGACCAGTGTCCATAGGCTTTAGTTTGCTTCAGAACTGCATCTCTCCCCATACTTGTCATTAGGAATGTAAAGCTGCTTGAAGCAGGTCACATGCACCTGCCAATGATTCAGAATGATCTCAGCTGTGTTTTCAAACTGATGTCAAAAGCAAGCTTCATTTGCCAATCGACATAGGCCCAAAGTCCAACAACCCAGGCCCAATACTTCTATTCATTCTTGCAATCCATGCTTGTAAACATCCAGATGGTTTACCTTGGACATGAATGATTCTGACAGATACAAGAGGTTGAAAGAGCTTGCTGTGTCTGTCAGAGTCTAAAGGGCAACTAAGGACTTTAAAGTGCTTTGCTTTGAACTTTTACATTTTCAGAGCAATGGAAGGGCGATTTTTCCAGTGCTACTGGGTCCTCTGTAGTCATTCAGGCCCGCAATTTGGATGAAAAATCATGACTGGGTAATAACCTATCCTTAATTTCTTCATTTATTATCCCATTTTATGTTGTACAATAACCAGAGCATGTGTAGGTTGGCTCTTGAAGACTTGAGCAGAAATGCACATATTTCTTAATAGAACATTCAGTGCAGGAACATCTAATTCAGTTAAATGTTTGCACTCCATAATCTTCTTATTTCTCATATCTCCTACAAAATCCTCAATATTTGGTGGGATTCTTCATAAACGCACATGCCTCATGAAACCTCCCTCGATTCAGATGTTTCAGTTAAGTTCTTATTTAAGGGCTGAAGCATATATTATATAAGAGTTACTGGTGTATTACTTGGGACTGCACAAGCCAAACATACAGCAGTTTAGCTCAGTTCTTTTTATCTTATGTTTTTATGCCAATGAGTGAAAGTATTGCAATCCTTTGCTTACAGTTTGTAGTATAAGATTGCAGTTTGCCTTTCAGAATAGTTCTGTATACTTTCAGCAGAATAACTTGAAGTGCCATTACTTGTGTGTTTTTTTGGAATAATGTAAATGATTGCACACGTTCATGTGTTTTTGTTTGTGTTAATATGTGTGCTGCATATGTGTACTAGTACATGAGCAAAATGACATACGTGCCTGTGCCTGCATGCAAGTCATGTCCATGTAATGAGTGGTGTAGGGACGAGTAATCCCTACCTGCCACTGATTTCATAAAATAACTTTATAAATGTAGATGATGTACCCAAAACATACATATCTCCCCAAAGCTGCAAATTTGCAGCGATAATTTGTTGCCAGCAGATCTCACACAACTACACAATGCTAATAAGTACTAGATGGTGATAGATAGGCGGTGCTACAAACTCCCTAATATAAGATAGCGCAGCTTATCTTACCCATCTCGTACATTTGAAGGTTCAAGTAACCATATATGTGAGCAGCTATAATTTTAGACCCACTAATTCATCAAATTTAGCACAGAATTTCATTTACACATAATGCTAAAAAGTAACTTTGCTGCGGAAAGGTAACTTTTTATTTTTTAAATATCGAACGTAAAGAGTTTATGCTTTGCCCTATGTTCTGCTGTGTTGCAGTGACGGCACTTTTGGAAGATGTTTATATATAAATATATATATTTTAAATAACTGTTGTAATAGTTTGTATATTTAATAAAACAATGAAAACTTGGCCTTTATTCTGTATTTTTTTTCCGATACACTTTCATTTTTGGAACGTGATAAAGGCATGCAGAGGAGTATTTTTCACTTTTGCAGTGAGAAAAGGCCACTGTATTTTTGTTATATTTATGTATTTGCACAGCCTACCAAAAAATAATAAAATATTTATTTCTTCTTACCTTTTACATGTTTTATTGTAGCAGGCAATATGGCTGATTCCAGGGTTTTTTCTCAGCACCTTTTACAGTGATCTGTCTTTATAGAAAGAGTTAGGACTGAAATTTGAGGACTTGTGGTTTCTCTCATTACCATCATTAACATTTGAATTCAGAAGCCATCATTGTGATCCTTTTAACCCTTTGTTGGGACAGGCAGTCCCAAACTTTCCAAACCATAATGAACAAACCCCTCGCAAATAGAAGCAAATAGAAATTTTAACCCTTAAGGAGCCAAAAAGCCCTAACTCAAGTAAAAGCAAAGTAAACTGCAAGAAGCATTTTTTAATAATTTTTTTAGCTTATGCGATGTGAATGGGAACATGTAACGATCATAAAATGGGTGTTATCCCTATTGGGCTGTGAAAGTGGAATTCCTATTATAGCATGCTGTTGGTTATGTGTTTTAGATGAAGCGCTGAGATCTTGAGGAATGGTGAATTAAGTTTTAATTGCTTGTAACAACATTACATCAGAATACTGCATTATACAGCATACAGAGAGAACATCCTGAATATATCATCGATAAACACGCATGAGCAATGAGATCAACATTGCACTACAGCAACATCTACAGCTCAAAATACATAATTACATAAGTAATACAATCATATATATGCTGTTGCATTTCCAACCACCCTTCTCAACAGCATATGCGTTCTCTCGAAGGAAACTGATGATCCTTTTGGCAGTGGGTTGGTGAGGTCATCTGTAGTCATTTCTTCTGATGAGCAATATTGCATGTGGATAATAGCTTGCTTTTGATGAAATGTATTGTTGATATGCATGGTTCTAGGGTTGACTCTTTCTGATTGTCAGCTTTACACATCCCTGGTTGTCTTCAAAGACCGGGATGGGGTTTGAAATGTCTATACCCATGTCCATTAAAAGCTGCCAAATCCTTCTTGTAGTTCTACGATCGGGGGGAAGCTCTGTGAGTGTCCAGGTTTTATTTTCTTGGAGGGATTTTATTTCTTCTGCTGCCTGTCGCCATTGATTGGCTTCACGTTTTGGTAATTTTTTAATTTCTTCACACAAAGTTGGTTCGAGTATGCTATGTGTCCTAGCAGTATATGACAGCTTGCAGGGTGTTATTCCTTTGTTGCTCGAGTGGATCTTCTAATTTCAGGTTGTTCAGCAGAATTTAAAATGGAACTTGACGTATCCATTGTGAGTTCCACCTCTTGTTCTGATTCCTGTGCAGCTTCACTTTGCTCTGCTTTCTTTGCTGGTTCGCTGGGCGAATTCACTTCACAACTCCCCATTGTTTCTGGTGATAAGTTCTCATCAAAATAAACGCTGAGACTTATTGTCACTTTGTCAGTCTTTGGGTGGGGGGTTCTATAGCCTTTATTTGGTTTACTATAGAGCACCAGAATACCATCAATAGCTGTGTTCTCCAATTTGGATCACTTCACGTTTGGAATATAGGCGTAAGATTTACATCCAAACACTCTGATATGCCCTAGGCTAGGCTTCGATCCATGCCGCATTTTAAATGGGTTGCTTTCAACGGCTTTTGAAGGTAGTGTGTTCTGTAGGTATTTTGCAGTCATGACTGCTTATCCCCAGTACGTCTTAGGTAGGTTGGCATCTGACATCATGCATTTGGCCATTTCTATAAGAGTGTGATTCTGTTCTGCTATACCATTTTGTTCAGGAGTGTATGGTGTGGTTGTCTGCTGTACTATACCTTGTTTCTTAAGATATGATTCCACTTCCTTACTGATGTATTCCCCTCCGGTGCATATAGTTCCTGGCTTCCATTGGAATTTGTTGCTGGAGATGGCTACAAACTCTTGATGTTTTCTGTTTTTCATTCTTGTGCTTCATCGGATAATTTGTTGTGTACCTGGAATAATCACCAATGAAAGTCCCACCTGATGTGGGCGTTTTCATTAGTCCGTACACGTCACTGTGTATAAGCTCCTTGGGGAACGTGTGGCCTTTGCTTCCATACAGCATTTTCCATGTAATGAGCATTTGGCAGGGCAGAAAGGTTATATCTTCGGATAAGCCTCTCTTCATAATAACTTTTATGCTTCTGGGTTTCAATGCCCTAGTCATCTATGCCATAGGTGGATACATCTGTTGTGTGGATTATGAGTGGCTGTCTTGACTTTTTTGTCTGCGGTGATGAGTCTGTATAGATGTTCATCCAATTTTCCTTTTGCGAGGATTTGCTTATTGTTTTGGATTGTACATTCATCACCTCGGAATTGAACTGTGAGACCATTATTAGCAAGGGTTTCACTGATAGAAGGCTTCCTTTTAGGTCTGGGACATACAGTACATTTTTCACAAGGATACTCTGTCCCCTGACAGTGTGATGCAGTTTAAGAATCCTTGACCTTTTTCCTTTGCACTGAAATCAATTTTCACTGATTTTAAATTTCTGTGACACCTATACCCAGGTTGTGTTCCTGCAGCCCTGTTTGTGTTAGTGCGTCAGAGTTGATGCATTATACATGTTGGAGCGTTCATTCAGTGCACTGTACTAAAACATTAGATAGTGTAGGTAATGCAGCCTATGTCAGTACTACAACTCTAAACCTACCTGTTACATTGTATACTGTTATGCACAAAGGGGGCTCGTACACATCATGGACATTTCTGTTTGGGGAAAATCTGTTGAATTGGACAAAGGACTTTCCCATCATATCAGCTGATGTTTAGAGCTCGGAAATGAATGGTGAGATCTAAAAAAGTAATTCTGCATTTCAGCTGTGATATAGTTGATGATCCTAGAGTAGGTTTACTTTTATGTGTTGCTATCTTTGCAGCTTCATCATGATTTAGAGAATGTTCAGTGATTGTACTTTTTTGGCATATCAGTAAGCCATCTCTTCATGTATGAACACCGTGACAAAGAGCAGACGAATGTTGACTTGTGTATATATGGGATCTGTTATTCAGATTGTTTGACTTTACTAATCGTGATTATTGCTTCTGGTCAAAAGTGGAATGCTGCTTGACAACTGCAGAAACACTTGTTCTGCAAGTAGATAAATCATCTGCAAGTTTGGGGTATTAATGGCAGTTAAAAAATAATTGGTCCTCATTAGTTGGGAGTACCTTCTGTTTACCACTTGCTTGGAATTTCAAAAATGCAAACGCATAATGAACAAAAATGAAAATCATTATATATATATATATATATATTA